CTACTCACCAAAGAAGGAGGTGGAACAATGTTTTGTATATTATGTTATTTCTGCCATTTTTTATTTTATCCAACAGAGGAAAAGAATGTAGTTCCTCTGGCTCTATCCTGCTGACATGTACACTCTTGTTTTGATGTGATTGCAGGCATGTTGAGCTACTGTGACAGATACAGTGAAGGCATGAGACGTGTCCTGAAGACTTTTGGACCCATCCCAGAGTTTTCTGGGGCAGCGGTTCAAAAAGTTAATCAGGTATGCAGACTTAGGGCCAAGAGCTCTGGTTGTGTAATGGGAGTGTTTGCTTTCCCCTCACCTGTACCACCTAGAACCTTCTCACTTGACTTTGATAGCTCCTCATGCCTACCTTTGTCTATACAGGTTCTATCGTGGTTCCCAGGAGCCAGGAGACCATGTGACTAAGGAAGTAGTAGCTAATTTTGATTTGTCTCCGAGGAAGCATAGGCTTTATGGGATTTAGAAAGCTTATATTGAGAAGGAACTCTGGTGGCACAGTGCCTAAGGCATTTGACTGCTAACCAGAAGGTTGGCAGTTCAAACCCACTAGCCACTCCATGGAAGGGAGATGAGGCAATCTACTTCCATAAAGATTTAAAGCTTTGGAAACCCAATGGGGGGTCAGTATGAGTCGAAATCGACTTGATGGCAGTGGGTTTGGTTTTGGTTTATGTTAATTGAGAGTTTATTTGAGAGTGCTTTTTTCTTTGAAAGCAAAATCCCAGTTTGCGTGAGCAGGAACAATAGTTGTACTCCTCCTCATGCTAATTTTGGGGTCCCTTTTTTTCTTTTCATCTCCTAGGCTATGTGTGAGAAGATTCCTGATGACCCCAAGCACTTGGCTGCCAGAAGGAAGTGGCGGGATGAATGCCTCCTGAGACTCTCCAAGCTGAAACGTGAGATGCCATCTGAGTGAAGATCCTGGAATGGTCTTGTCACTCCCTGCAGTGAAAGTCCTAGTTGAGGAATTATAAGCTCTTAATCAAATCTCTCTAAAGCAGTGAGAAGCCATGCCTAGCATGCTTAGCATGAAAATTCTGCACTTGATTTCCTGTGTTTAGCTAGCTTATATGGTGAAGGCTGTCGGTTGTCCAGTCACACTGGATCATGGACCTGGACCAGGTGTGACCTATGTGGTCACAATGGCATGGGGCCTCTGAGGCTTCTGATATCCTGCTACCCTGCAAGGGAGAAAGCACGGTCTGAAGATTTTCACCCCTAGGGAAACATTTTATATCTAATTATGGTAGCTTCATTTTATTTTGATCTATATAGCAAACTTTTAACAGTTCTTTTCCAATCCTTAAGTACGCTGTGGCCCTGCATTTAGGAGGCAGCTACCTTCATTTTACTAATGGTTATTCTGAATAAAAACTTTTGATTCTATAAAGATGTCCTTTTTTTCCTGATCATTCTGACAATGACAGCATTTGACCCTGATGATCTACATATCTTAGAATGACCTTGATTCATGAGTAATGGTGGTGCAGTGGATAAGGCATTTGGCTGCTAACCAGAAGGTCAGCGGGTCAAACCCACCAGCTGCTTCATGGAAGGAAGATAAGGTGATCTACTTCTGTAAAGATGTAAAGCCTACCACTGAGACTATGGCCCCTAGCTGCCCTTCAGGTCTGGAATTGAACCCATACCTGTGGTTTCCAGCCAAACAAAGTACAGGCATGTGAGTTAAACATTTACCTCAAGTAGACACATGCCCTGGAGAGAACAATCATGGGAGAAGAAGGACTGCTTATGCACAGGGAGACAGCTCAGGGCACAGGAGAGTATCGAGGGATGGTCACTGGGAAGAGGTAACTATGGGGAGGAAGTGGGAGGGGAGCTGTTGCATTGTGGTAAACTGGTCAATGACATGAGACAAAGTATATGTGAACTGCTGTATAGAAAGTGAATTTGCTCTGTAAATCTTCACCCAAATCACAATTAAAAAAAAAAAAATACATATCTGGATCTAGTAAAAAAAGAAAAAAAAATTTAAAGCCTAGGAAACCCAATGGGGGTGGCTATGAGTTGAAATCGACTCAATGGCAGTGAGTTTGGTTTTTTTTTTGGTGCACAAGTCCTTTGCTCTGGGACCGTCATCTATCATTCAGTAAAAACCCACCAGTTTGGGACAGTGTTCCTCAAAGTGGGTTCCATTGGGCCCTAATTGTTCTCTGGTCAGATATGTTTGGGAAACACCATTACCATCTACTGTCCAGCCTTTGGAGACTCACATGGATATCAACAAATTAAAAGCTCCAACGTTCTGCAGTAAAGATGCCTGCTTAACTTTATTTAACCCAACATTCTGTTAACTTATTTGACGTGAAGTCTTTGCTGAGCACTAGTTCCCAAAGCCATCTGGGAAATGCCAGCACAAGCTCCCTCCTTGTAAAGCTGTACACACCACAGGATCTCAATCATGGGATATACCTGCAGGCTCTATAGCACCTCTGAGCCCAAGTGACTCTCCAGCCTTTCTGTTTTGGGCAACCAGGATCCAGCATTAACCTTTCTTCAGGATCAAGGCTGTTCTGGAATTGAAACCAACATCCCTGATTAGGAACCATGTGGACATGGTCTCCCCTTGAAGCCAAAGTTCAGCTTATGTGTGCATGTGGGCATTCATCATATCCATGGATTCTTACAATATGTGGTGAGTGGCTTCTGTGCACTAGGCTCATGCCCATGTTCCTGCCTTTGAGAATGTTTCTGTAAGACAACAAACAAGGTTGTCATAAATAGAATCCTTGCTCTAAAGAAACCCTAGACAAAAGAGACTGTGACTGACTGACTGACTGTCAGGTATGCCCTGGAGGTCTTCAAAAGAGATCACTTTGGAGCCAGGTCTTGAGTAACAAGCAGGAATTAGGCAGACATTCCTGACAGGGAGTGGAGTGTGGAAAGGTGGTAGAGTGTTCTGGAAAGGATGAGTAGTTCACTGTGGCTGGAAAGTAAGCCCTGTGGTGGTGGCGGGACAGGAGCCCAAGCCAGGAGGGACAGCACCACGTTGCAAAATATCTAGAGTGCTGTGCCAGGGGATTAGCCTCACCTGAAAGCAGTGTTTAAGGGATCGGTGGTACACAACCATATCAAGAGCATCTGACCCTTAATTCTTACAACAGACACTAGGCTAGAGGCAGGGACCGTAAGGATGGTTGTGTAGTCCAGCGAGAGCTGATACGGCAGCAAGTTTAGAAACAGCCTACAGGTGGAAGAAACTGGCATTGGTGACTCCCAGTGAGAAAGGTGATATTGGGCACCTCCCAAGTTTTCAGCTGGGAAACTCTGCAGGCAGGATAAGGAAATTAGGAGGAGGGGCAGGGCATTTGAATATCCCAGATGCTTATGGTAGCAAGACAGGCCTGATGGTCTGCTTCTGAAAATCAGCCAATGAAAACCTCTGGGACCCAGCAGTCTGACCCCATTGTACATGAGATCACCACAAGTTGGGGGCCAACTCGATGGCAGCAAACAATAAGCAGGACATGGGGACTGGTGGACCATGTGAACCTCAGCCCATATGACTGTGAGACCAGAAAAACTAGATGGTTCCTGGGAATCACTGCCAACCACCTAAAAAGGGATCAGTGCAGGAGATCCTGGATAGAGTGGGAGAACAATATGGAATAAAACTCAAAATCATAAATAATAATAATCTGGTGTGATAGAGCCTGGTGAGACCCCTGAGACTATGGCACCTAGTTACCCTTCAGGTCTGGAATGGAACTCACTCTTGTGGCTTCCAGCCAAAAAATAGATAGGTAGGTAGGGTGAACGTTTATGATGTTGTTGTTGTTGTTATATGCCGTCAAGTCGGCCCTGACTCATAGCGACCCCTCCTTGGGTTTCCGAGGCAGTATCACTATGGAAGTAGGATTGCCCAACCTTCCTTCCGAGGAGT